AATCGCAACCACCCAACGCAAACTATGACAACGAGGATGAAAACGATGAACCAGAAATACTCATGAATAATCAGAATACGGTTTTTTTGCCTCCGGGAATTCCCACAGTCGTTCAACCCATCCCACCATCAGCTTGTGCTAGCAAATTACCCGAACCATATCACAACTTCATCGCTGGTCTGAAATTGAACCAAAATACGGCTAGTAATATGGTGCGTTCACATGTGTCTTATGTTAAAGCGCTGTGCGATGGATTTTCGAACACTGCCACACCATCGTTATTCCCATGCGCCGACGCTGTACACCTTTCCGATTCCGAATTATTCCATGCGGATTTGGTCACTTTACTGCGTGATTTGGAGCGTCCTTCACTTGAGTGTTCTGATGACCATTGGCGCACTGATAGCGAGGCTCACGCATTGCTTCCGGAATTGCAGGATTGGCCAACCAGGGGACTGTTGGATACTGAGCCACTACGAGTGGCCGATGACATGTCTATGCACACGTTGCCGGCAGATTGTGTCTTGGAACGCGTGGACTGGTGTGAGTAAACGCATTTGCTTCCCATTTGGCACGATTCATATGCCCTCTATTCAGATTTTGAAAATTTAGTGTTAAAAGAGCCAAAAAACGAGGATAGAGCTTGGAGAAGACTGCTCTAAACGCCCAGTTTATCTCTCGGGCTACACGGTGGTATGAGCTGCACAATTCGTTCCACTGATCCTGATTTTCATTTCACCGATGCTCATATGATTCACTACTAACCTGCACCAAAATCCTTAATTTCTTCGTAAATGATGAAGCTGCATCGCGACTGCTATATGGAACACCATGGTGTGTATAGCTTAAGTTAAGCAATAACTCCTAGAAACGGTTATTGTGATCCTTTCATCAGTCAACCTCTGACTTGAGAGGATACTTTAGGCAATCGACAGAAGTACTGTTATATTTTTTGGAATTACGTATGTACATAAGGTGCAGCTCTCCGACGAATATGATACAGTTCTTTAAAGTGGCAATTTCCGTTCACAGTCATTTTTCCTGATAATGTTTTGTGTCCGAATACACATTAGTTGCACTGTTTGTTTGGTATCTTTATTGTTCAGTCACCGGCGCTGAAATTCCTGAATCGGCCGAACAAACGGGCACAATGGATGAGTTCTCGACAGCGCTAAAGCAGTTTTGTTCACCTCCTGAAGCGTACCACTTGCTGATTACTCGGATGCATGCAGGAGCGCATCGAAGCGTTACACTCGCGTTCCAGTCTTCCATATCATCGTGCCCGGTAAATTCAATGAAAGCAGTTCATTTGCTTACGGATGTGTTCATTCCTGCCAGTCCTTACCTGACATCGATCGCCATAGAGGCGTTGCAATCGCATCCGGTTTCTGATGGATCAGCCATCAACAGAGAATCTGATGTGTCAGCTCGATTGCTCGCTGTATCCACAGAGATCGGGCAGCATGCGCTTGTTTTGCGTGATCTTACTCCACCTGTGCCCTTTTCTCGTTTACGTATCAGTCTGTCTGCCCGTCTGGACTGCAAACTGTCACGTGCGCGAATTCATCTGGGCGCCTTTTTTGGTCGCTCTGGTTTATTTGATTTGATCTCCATGCCAGATCCGTGGCGTATAACTCGCGCCTGGGAATTTGCCTGGGCTGCTGGACAACCACTGTTTTGTCCATCTTCTATACCGACGGAGACTATTCCAGCGAATCCATTGTTGGACCGCTTAGAGCAATGGAAATCCGACGTGCTTGCTTCACTTGATCTGACCCAGTCTGAATTGATTTCGTGGTCAACCGCCACTAGTGTCACCAATAACACGAACCATTCACACGAGTAAGTTTACAATACTGATTGTCAAATTTCGACTGGAAATGGCTAATATTTAAGCAACTGGTGTTCTGCTGTTTTTCTCTGTTCAAGTCATTTTCTGGTTTGCTAAATTGTGTCCGGTCCTGTGATATCCGATGCAGGCAATCATACACACTTCTTTGCGCGTGAGCACGTTCAATGTCGCTGGACTACCTTGGTGAAACAATAGGTCTCTCTGGCTAGGGTTTTTGTCACCCTTCATTCAANCCTTTTTTGAATCCCATTTCACGCCTAAATGCCAGGGTATCCGTGCTCGCTACCTTTTGATCGTCCCCACGTGTTTTGTCATCAACGGAAACTGCCAGAACTTCAAATAAAAATATCTTGCCATCATTCTAGTGTACCAACGTATTAAAGCAAAGTATATTGTACAAACCGACCTTCGGATAGGTGAAAAAACCTTGTTACTGGTGAGCGAACAGCTACTCTAAACAATATAACTGTCCAGGTCGTTGCAGGCAAACGATTTGGGCTGCATCTATCCTAACCATACAATGTCCCTCCCTGATCGCATTACCTAAAGCTAACTTCTGTTGAGACTGGAAATATATCAGTAGTTTGGCTTTCAATACACAGAGGAGCATTCCTCTGCTACTTACCCCCTAATTTAGTCCTCTGTGGAGTATAAAAAGAAGCAGTAGACCGCTGTTGCAGAGCGATGGATTCGCCAAGTCCCATTCCTGTGAACTCGGAAGTTCCAAGCTAGTTCAGTTTCAGTTTGGACAACCATTAACCATGCACTTTCGTACGCCGGCTTTGGTTGTCGTCTTTTGATCTCCCAGTTGGATGAAGAATAGGAGAAGATGGGAGAAGACAGAATAGTTGAAAATAGAGTAGAACAGAAAATGGAGAATTTCAGAGGTCTAAGGTTGCAAAGAAATTGACAAGATGCAAGAACGCCACTGTTTACAACACTCAGTCACATCACTCTGTCTCTAACCATCGGAGCGATCATCCCGAGGTCCCCATCCAGTGAGTCTAACAGGACCTGTAACCCAGTCTCCTGGTCAGGGTTTTCATACCCTCGTGCCAGGTCTTAGATTGACCACCCTTAACTTTCTTCCACCCACTACCTGCCCCGGCGAACATTGCCCGCCGTGGCAACCTGTTTGATGACATGCGTAACACATGTCCCAACCAACGTAATCTATGGTGGTCGACCACTTGCTCCAATGGACTGCCGCGATTACCGAAAGCTCTGCGCCTTAGAGCAGAACTGACCGAACTGCCGCAGCATATACTCGACCCTTCACAGTCAACGGAATGTTGCTACGGCCCCACGGATTTCTCAAGTTGGCAAATGTCAACCGAGCCTTCTGTGTGCGAGCAGATACTTCCTGCGTGACGCGTCCACCTTTGCGACAGTAGCAGAGGAATCATCAATCATAGGACAAGCAGACGGTATTTCTCGTTTCAGTTGCTAAGCGCACTAATTAGTGCCTCCATCGAATTTTGTAGTTATTTACTATCAAACGCTGATCAATTTGTTGTCGTTTCTCGGGGGACCTTTTGTTGTTCTTGCTATTGCGTAATCTTACTAGCTCTCTGTTGTTCAGTCCTAGTGTTGTTTTAAAACGGCTTGTCTGCATGTTGGTATGTGATGATAGGCTCGTATACATGCCTCCCCTTTTTCTTCTGTTGTTTTAACATTTTTACGCTGTCTACCTCTGTTTTTCTATCCGGTGCTTCGGAAATACTGTCCCGTCTGACCTCTATTTTTTCTGAGGTGGATTGATTCTAATATCTGTCACGAGCAATGTTATTATGCCATAATACCAAGTTTCATGTTGTCATTGGATTCGCACTCTTCTCCATTCACAGGCATTATTTCATAGATTTCCACTTCCATTCTTTTTGTGCAGGGTGGAATATGACCGGAAAATCTTGACCTTGTACACGCGCTATTGGGCGTTACGTTATCAAGTGAATTGGCTTCAAAGAGTCTCCGATCGCATGGTGCATCTGGCCCACCCGGCTATCACTCATCAGTTACAAATGCAAATGAGCTCTGCCGTAAGTTGTGACAGTCATTGTTTCCTTTTGTTCTGCTATTTTCCAGCTATTGTCTCGTATTTAATGTCAACTTTTCGAATAAAGATGTATTATGTTGAACTTCTCGTATAGAGTCATATTCATGACTGTTACCGTTGTAGTTTTAAGCTTCCCCAGTTTTCCTGGTGCCAGTGATGCAAATTCGTAACTCACTCTCTGTTCCGAATGACGCAATTTCTATGGTGACTTTGGTCGTGCAATGAACAAATGAAACGTGAACTAAAAGGCTATGAACGCTGGACAGCTGTCTCAACCTGGTTGGGTCTCATCAGCATTCGATGAAATCGCACTTGGTAGTTGTTTTTTCCTGTTTAAAACCAATCCCTGTCATTGATGTACGTCAGACATAAATCGCCGCTGATCGTGACCAACCGTTACACATGAAACGGAACCATTTCGATGGTTCTAACCCAGGCATTCGTGGTCAGTTGAACAATGCATGTGGAAAAACTGCCAAAAAAACGATGGGAAGGTAAAAATGTTCAGTAATCTCAAAGGTCTTTTCTTCATACAAATAACTTCATTGTCTACCTTTGTTCACTGAATTCTCTGTTGATCTGATTTTTTGTGTTTGATACTTTGTCTCTTTTGACTAACATTCTTCACAATGATTCCCGAATTACCCCCACTCCGTTAGTCTGTTTCAGATTTGATCAAATCATTAAGTTTGGACAAGTCGAGAAATTTGATGGAAACGGTTTTGCAGCTCCTTGTTGCTCACTCCGATCATCTGTCATTGGCAATTCGATCCGGTGACGTGGACGTTGCAGATCCCTCCAAACTCTCTAGCTCATTGACCGACTTGATCCCAACCGACGAATTACACACGATCATTTGTAGTCTGCTTCAGACTAGCTTTACCTACGGAACTCGAGCCATTCAGGTACAGACTTCAATTAACCAAGCGTTATTGTTTCAAACTAATCATCACATGAACTACCACAGCATGCCTTTTTATGTTGATTCTCTCAGCTCTCATTGCTACTCATTGTGCAACGAGGTAAACATTGGCAGTGCACTTCAGTTGTTGAAGTAAAGAGATGTTGTAGTTGTTGGCATTAGTTGATCGGCCGTATCAATGCTCATCGCCTGGTCCTCTAAATTGTCAAACCACCACTATCACAGTCC